TATATTTTTTTTTTTACAACTTAATTTCACCTTTAAAGCTAAATTAGTTTTAATATAAAAGTAGAATTTTCACTTAGGGTTAAACCAATAAACGTAGGGTTTAATTTAGTTTACTTACTGTAACTAAAGACAACTTCAAAGGACCTTCATATTTATTTTGATGTATTTTTATGCATCATATTTTCAATTATGTACAAAAAAAAAAAACCACAAGAAGAATTAATCAAACCCTTTGAAATGCATTCTATCTAGTCAGTATGTGTTCTGGACATCAACACTTTGGTCTCAAGCCAAAACAAAATTGTTTCTTTTATTTATAATTATTATTTATTTATTTTATTTTTTGTATGAGGAGTCTTATTCACTTTTAGTCAAACTTTAGGAAACCATGATTTTCAAATCTTTTTTTTTTTAAACACTATTTATCCCTTTTATTTTGAAGGACTGGATGTGTACATTGGACAGTATAAAAATACATGTATTTTCCACTTGATGTACATCTGTTTTGACTTGACTTGGGTTAACTGATTCCTGTTTTATTTTTCTTCCACGTCTCACACTGTATATCTCAGGTCAGTGTTTTTTCATTAACTTCACAACTGCCACCTTAACTTCGCAGTGAATGACATTTTTGGACATCCATTAATTGAAAAGATTATGAATACACATAAAATAAATGAAATATCAATACAATAAACTAAATGATCAGAAATAGAATCATGATTATGAACTGATGTAACACATTTCTGCTTTACTTACCCTGTACTATAATATACGCAGTGGCGTGGATGGTGTCCACGTTGTTGCTTGCGAAGCAGGTGTACTGTCCTCCATCGGCCTGATTGACGTTCTGGATGTAGAGACCTCCTGAAGGAGTGATGTTGATGCGGGGGTCCACTGGGAGGGCTGTGTGGTCTCCTTTGGTCCAGGTCACGCGGGGCTGCGGCTGGCCCGTCGCACTGCACTCCAGGGTCACGCTCTCCCCGACCAGAACCTCTGTATTCTGCGGCTGGATCACGAAACTAGGTCGAGCTGGAGAGAGAAAGACCTCTAGTTAGCTGCCTCAAAACAGTCTTTACCAGACTGGCATGCTACCTAGAATTATACATGAAAAGGTAAAAAACTGGGTTTGGGGGGAAAAAATAAAATCTAAATCAAACAGTCATAGAAAGAAAGTGTTTAATGTTGTCTATCTCATGAGGTCAAACTAAATACTATACTGTAAAATTGTACATAAAGTTTTTTGGAGTGTGTTTTAAAAGAAAATACTTTTTTTTCTACTCTTGAATTTCACATTTAATTCAAATTGTTACTTTTAAATTTATTCGTAATTATTCCTTTGCAATCATTTGTGAAATTTACAAGCATTTTCTGAGTGATTTTCACCATTTTTTTGTTATTATTCATTGATACTTGTCATTTCTTTGTGAAATTTACTAGCAATTTCTGAGTGAAAACTGTTGTGAAAAAAGTGAGAAAAGTAAATCCTACATATTTTTTAATTCAAAGTGTTACTTAATTCTTTGTAATTATTTGTGAAATTTACTGAAACATTTCTTACTCAGAAATTGCTCAAATTGTAAAAAAAAAAATGTTATTCAGTGTGTTACTTTTTGTTTCTTTGTAATCATTTTTTTCCAGCATATATGAAATGTTTGTAGATTGCTAAACTAAGTAGGGTTGAGCTAGTTTGGGAAGTTCTAGTAGTCACAGCCTACAGGACCCTATCACACTCACATGGTGATCTGAAGTATCGCAAGGTGACCTCTGAGGTCTTCACTTCTCCAGCCACGTTTTTGGCCATGCACTGATAAACTCCCTGGTCTGTTTCTCGTGTGTCCTGGATCATCAGGGTCCCATCTTCCAAAAGATTGAGACGTGTGTCGTCCCTCATGTTCAGAGCATTGCTGAAAAAAGATTTTCCCATTTATGCACATACCCTTCACATATGGAGGATAAAAGAAAATATTTTATTTCTGCCACGATTTACTCATATTCTTGTCAGTCCAAACCTGAATCACTTTCTGCTTTACATGGAACACAAATGCAGATACATTTCTTAGAATTCCCAGACTATCAAGCTCCAAAATAACAAAACACACACACACACACACACACA